AAAGCAAGAGCAATCACGAAGGAAAAAACTTTCATGCTTGGTAAAATTTGTTCTATCAGGCGGTCGAATTATCAGACACTTGAAGTAATAGTATCAAATACAACAGAGACCGATATGTGAACAATTTGAAGTGACCTATACAAGGACAGATATTTGAAAAACCAGTGATTCTACTAATATACAAATAAATGCATTTCCATTAAAATAACTGCTGATATACGAACATCGGTTTGGTAATTATAAGAACTCTTTTTAGATTAACTTAGATTAACTATCAGTTATCCTGAAAACGTCAATCTATAGCAATAATCTTCTTAATTTTCAAAATGGTCTCTACGATAAAACTGTTCAGAAAATTCAACTAGTGTAATACTGAATTATGATAAAATTCCCATTAAAGAGGTCATGGTTTTGTGAAGTTCAGATGTATATACAAAACAGCAACACATCAACTTGCATATTAAAATTTAAATAGATATTTACTCGAATTTTGCTATACAGATCCATTATATAATTACAAATCAAATTATCCCAGTATAGTATCTAAAGCTAAAGTTGCAAATATTAAAAATTATGATGTCTTCTTCTTAGATAATGCATTATCTTTTCCCAGATCAAATACAAACGCAAGGAGAGTCCCGAAGCCTGCAAGAAACGAGCTAACAATACCAGGCCCGTAAATGTTAATGTCCTGTGCAATCCCACCAACAGTGGGTCCTATCATACGCGCCATTGACATGAATGAGTCACTCAAACCAGTAAGTAGGCCCTTTTCCGCCTCCCCGCCTTTCTTGTACATCAGAGTTGCACTGGTAACTCTCAAAATCGAAGTCGATATACATAAGGGAATCAAGGCAATAATGACGTAAACGATGTTCGGAGCAAAAGATATCGACGTTAACGCAAAGACAAGCGTGACCGAAAAAAAACGATGCATTGACTCGGGGGAACGGAAAAACTTTGCTATCCAGCCAACGCTCATTCCACTCACTACTCCCAAGATAGCGTTGTACGACATAATATAGCCATTTGTTTTTGGTGAAGTCGAATGCCGATACTCTAAAATCAAATTAAAGCTGCTTCGGAAAATAATCATCGACAAACTTGAGAGAAATCGCACAACAAAAATATCGGCAACACTCGCCCATGGAACTTGTCTTATAGCCGTTACAAAATCCGAAGCAGACTGCAATACTGTATTCGACTCATTCTTCTTTGCATCGACAGCACTGACGGCTTCAGCTTTGTTGAGGCTAGGTTTATTGTCGTTACCTTGACCTCCATCGCAACCGTCAACCTTTTCATTATTAGAAGAACAGTCTGAAGAGGACCATTCAACCTCCGTATCAGGAACAAAAAATAACACAAATATGGAGTTGCAGAAAAAAATCAAACCTGTGATAGTTGCTACTTTTTGAAACCCAAACTGGCTCATTGCAATATGGCCACCTATTACAGGACCAATGATGAACCCTGAACTGCAAATGGCATTTAATGTACCAAGGGCTGCTGGACGCTGGGTGGGCGGGGTCACATCAGCAACATAGGCCTTGATTATGGCTTGACTATGCTTCAAAAGACCTTAAAAAAAAGTTAGTAGTTCTTGAAAAAATGAAATGCTGTTCGGTAGAAAATTTTTTTCTCTCTCTTTTTTTCTTATTTATTTAAGGTTGCTCTTATGCAACCGCACGTGCTACTTTAAGCCAACCGAAACTAAATACTCTCAACGTCGGAATGCTCTCTGGCCTTCCATCATAATTCCGTCTAACTGAGGTAGTGCTCGCTGGATACCGCACATTTCCCTTCACCAGATAATTCATTCTGTCAGGGGATGACCGTTAATCATAGTCAAAGCGACGCACGATTTCTCTCTCTCTCCGAAGTTGCAGTATAAAAACTTGAAAGGTTAGTTGTGAGTACCCGAAAAAAAAAGATGCTCCATGAACACTCAATCGACAGACAATAACACATAGAGTATTATTTTAGGACAGCACCACATAGTTACTCAAAATCCCGAACTCTCACTACTCTAGATACAATCTCAGACCTCTTGACAATATATATATCTATTAAGACGGGTTTCTATGCGGCACAACAAACGACTTGGTGGGTTCACCGCTCCCGAGTCCTACCTAATAAACGGTACTCTCAGATTCCACGTTGTTGTACACTACACTGGTTTTACGCTTTACCTGTCTCATACGAGAGAGATTGTAATTCTGTGTAATTAAGTCATCGGCTTAACTCGGCATTTCGTTGCGAGTCACGTCACGACCCCTGTCCTATTTGCGCAAACATCTTTTCTATATCGTAACTATACGCCTTGATATCGCACTCAACTCAATCGACGTATTCCTTAGCGGAGACGAGGCTTGTGCCGAGACGCCATGTGATGATTCTTGGGACTAACGCACAAATAGATATACAATACTCTCAATTCAGTAACTATAACAATGGGATATCCAGCATCAGCCACTCACCGGGTTATATGTGCAGAGTTCGAAAGAAGCCTCTTTCCCCATGAAACGTGCCACCTCTCGCTTACACGCCATGATACGTCTCCGATCTCGCTTTGATACGCCTGGAGCGATATGAGCCTTATGCCCCCCCCTTTCTCTCTCCCCTACACGTCCGCGATGGGTGTTACTGTCACCCCCTCTCCGCTTGAGCGCATGGACTGATACGCGTTCGTCATGACCCGCGTGGCGCCTCTCGACTCTACCAGCTCTCATTCATACAACACGCCCTGATCGCCGGTCTCTCCAACACTTTTACTCAACACTGCGAGATATCACACCTACGACCGACCTATTGCTTATAACTTTGCGCAAACTATGTCTAGCTTCGTCGCTAGAAGGAGACTGTGCTCAGTGCTTTATGAGCGTGAGTGAGAGTGTGAACCTTGAGCTTGAAGATAAGTTAATCCGGATCCTGGAACAATCACTAACTTTTTTGTCCTCTCCCGTTACTTTCTTCGTACTTTTTACGCCCGACACACATTGAAGGGACACTCCCGTAGAGCTTTGAATTCAAGACAGGAAAGTTCGTTTCATGCACTCTACTTCTACTTTCAAAAACCCATGTTGAAAATCGGAAAAGGACAGGTTTGATCAGTCTAAGATAGACTCCTACAGTGGTGAGAGCTACCCTCCTTTCTTCTGGCCTTCTACATACATAATATATGTGTTTTGCACTTAAGTCCTATTTGCGTGTCTTACCTCTCACTGTACATCAGGTCTTCGCTATAAAACGTTTGGTAAAAATAAATTCATTTCGCGATTTACTGTTTTATTGCACAAATGCAAGCCTTTTCTTTCCTGTTACTCGGCTGTCTCTCGCACACTTCACACAGTCTACGTCCATAACATAATCCGAGAACTAAATGCCCACACGTCGATTAGATATACCCGTAACTAAAAAATTGAACTGCCCAGTCCCCCGTCATTTTCTTCAAGGACTATTGAAAACTCCCACACTTATTTCAACCTCTACTCTCAATGTCCTCCGACGAGACACGAGACCATCCTCTTTTACGTATACATATATAATACCTCCGATTCAAGTGGCCTTCACAAGTATGCTTTACATAAACTCTTATATTAGGACACCGAGGATGAAAACATCCACTATATATCTGATCACATAGATGGACGCGCGTCTTATTGTATAACAGATACAAGATACTCTCCTCCTATATCTCTCAATCCTACGGGAACATTATATAATCGAAATTAATAGGAAGCTCTGTGGACTAGCGAACAACTGAGTCTTGCGACACATAGACAAACGACACGAGGTGTCACACTGAATATAATATATAACGATAAACCTCCAATTTTCATTTACCAAAAAGTTCCAAACAGACAACACATACACATCGAGTGGGTGATACGCCAATAAGAATTATATACATGAGACACAAACCAAACAAACCAAAAAGTCACTTAATCGTTGATTATTGAAAATTTTAAGCAACACAAAGGTGCCGGGGGGGGGGAGGCCCGTCCTTCGTGCTACGAGATAAAAACCCGATTTTGTCAACCTTTGATCATACATTTTACTCTTGACATTGCGACTAAGTTACTGAGGTCCCTATTCTATTTCGGCTCTGCCGTACCTCGTATGAATGCCCCATGAAGTTGCTTAAACCGTCATGCACTTAATTCATGCTCCATCTCTGACTATGAATTTTCATAATTGACGTTCAAATTAACATCCTCCCATTCCAGGTCTATGAATTATAGTTGACGTACATCATCATCGACGCGTTAGATTAAAATTGCCTCTTGAAGACCGCGTAGTTGCGTCTTAAGCCTTATTCACCGTGTTTTTCTTGCCATCATAAAGTTTCCTCCAGTACATCAGGTTATGTTAACACGGTCTTCTCAATTTAAAACTTATACTTGCAACAATCTAGATTGAGATTTCTTAACCTGTCCACGAGATAGTTTGCAACCGTCCGATAAAATTCGCTCCAATTGTACGTATAGTTGCCCAAACCGGCACGGATAGTTGCCTATAAACGATGGTCCTCGTGCTAAAGTGTGATCTCATCCCTTAGTAGATCAATCGGTATACAACCATTCTTTTCTTTACACGCCGAAATCTTTACAGTAGCTTCTGCCGTAACTCACGTTTTCCACAGTATGAACAGACAATCAATGTGAATGGACCGAAACTGTATAACAGGCAATTCTTGTCAATACGCCAATCATTCCAATGTAAGATAGGAAGTTGTTTAATGCAGACTTTCGCACGAAGCCACATATAGTTGGCAACCGTCCCTACCAGATGCGGGGAATCCTGTGTATGCGAGAACATGCGGCGACCTTACCACACTAGATTGCGAAGATATAATGCACCACACGTATGCACAAATATCACCGTGAGCACTTCAAAGCAAGTACCATAAATGGACAGAACTCGCTTTCCGTCCAACCCAAAGTCAGGTCCACTTGCCTGCCCTGTTGAACAAAAGAATCGAACCGGATAAATTCTCAAATTCATATTGAATTGATCTCTGAAGGCACTCTATCCGCGCATTGAATTTTAGCGCGGAAAACATTTCGGTGATAAAAAGTGATTAATGTATGGGTAACCGTCAACGGGCAATAACTTAAAGAATTAAGAGATACGAACCAGATACCAAAACCTGTTGTTGTTAGTTATAATTGTGGTAAAAGACCTTGCAAAAAACCTCGATCATTACGGTTACTTTAGTTGTGGCGAGGACCGCAGCCTGCATCCACGGATAAAGGTTAGGGCAAATATACCCTGTTGCCCTCCTAGAACGGATTAAGAATTGAGTAAACACAGAGATGAAATAATAGGTCCTTCATCAGTGCAGTTCGATTTTAACTGTAAGCGGTCGAATCTGCTATTTCATTATTTTTTCCAAAGATTTTTCTTACATATTAGACATACCAGATCAACGATCATTTTGAAAATTTAGGTCAATCGTACACACTCCAGAGATCTATTGTATATACTCTCGGCAAAACCGCTAATATCCCCAACTCAGTGGAGACTAGTCAGTTTTGTCAGACTCCGAACTGTGCACGAGAGCTCTCGCAATAGTATTTAGCTCTGAACTCAGAACAAACCACCATTGTTGGAGAAGCCACCATATCCTCATTGTACTATGATATCTATCATTGCGGTCTCAAGGGAGCAGGCTCCACGGGATAATTTCTGAGACCATCCACAGTATAGTTTGTAACCGTCCACGGATAGTTTTGCAACCGTCCGACGGGATAGTTGGTAGCAACCGCATCACAAAACGGGATAGTATACAGCATAAGCACCGAGACAATATCCCCTACGTGATAATGATTTTTTATCAACTAACAACCAAAAGTGGCAGCGGTCCAATGTAATAGTATAATCTGAGAAACACGACACTGGTCACACAGGCATTATAGATTAAGGTGGGAGCAAATACCTCGTAAATCCAACTCTTAAACTTCAAGCTCTCATAAATCAGTCAAATTTCGGTTAATCCTAATCCGACGCGTTTGTGAGATATATCCAAATGTTTTTTCCTTTGTCGCGGACTGACAAACTGTATTTTGCATATCTGGATTCGCGAATACGTTCTTTATTCAGAAAGTCAGATATGTTGCCACAACGTCTGGATGTAGATTTCGCCAAAAAATTGTTCATCAAACACGTCTCTACGCTCAAGGATAAGTTTTTTTCAGGTAACCTCGGTGTGTCCCACAGGCAGGTCAAGTTTTTTTTTACGTTGAAACCATTGCCATTAAATAGACAAGAGAAGAATAAGTTTATTAATCACCGACTTACCCAACTTTTACAAAAGAACGAATAGACTAATGGTTGAAATAGTATAGAGCACCAAAAATACTATGATTCCATACTCTCAAGATCTGTTAAAGATTTATAATGAAGACTCTCAAAACGGGTGGTTCCCTTCGACTCGTTGAATAGAGAGAAATGTCGAACAACACGTTGTACAGTTCAAAATGGTCCAGGCGGAGGATAGAGTTATTTTTAACAGAACCCTGTGTCCTCAACTAACCTAAATACTGTAATAGTGTTGTGTTTCTTATAAACGCGTTCGCACGTGATTCATTTGCTAATTCGGCATAGAAAAATATGAATTTATTTCTACACACGCAGGGAGGAGTAAGATGGTGAGTCGACCCCACGTTAGGGGGTTGGGGTAACCCGTCACGGATAGTTTGAACCCATCCACGGAGTTGATTGATGGATAAGAAAGGCATGCTTTCTATCTGCTCCTGCCTTCAGGTCTCTCCGATGTCCAACTATCGTGAGCGTCTCAATCCCTATGCGAAGCTAACTGCGTAGTCTCCTACGGGTAGTGTCTTTCTAGAACATATCTTCTAACTGTGAACCAATCCTGCGGATAAGTAATTATACTTGAAAAGAAGTATACCTATACTAAACAATGTATGTTTTTTTAGTAAGTAAATCACTCGTTGTGTGGATCCCGTAGATACGGGGATAGTTAGGGCTCTCTGTAGTCAATCTCTGACTTGTATGCTTGCTAACGTAGTTTGCATACATGGTTCGCTCTCTTATACCAAGTGAACGTAATGATAGTAATGATAAACCCGCTTCCTGTAACGCTTGATAATAATGACACGGATTAATCTAAGCATGAACCAATAGCACGAATCTACAGCGATTTTATATGTCCTTTCTGCCACGAATTATACTGTATCAGCTGTAGGCTAAACTGTTAATTTTTGTATCAACTAGGCTATCAATCACAATATTTGCAGGATTGTGTATGGCCAAACCCTGCGGTAGCAGGTATTTCGCGCTCACGTTTACCGTCGTTTATGCTCTTTTTGATGTTAACCTCGCTATGCTCTCCTAGAGCAATTCATCGATACTCATTTCCTCACTATATACTTACTGTTCAGGGATAACACGAGCTAAACTCCAACAATAGCATGCGGTCTCATATTATACCAGCACATGGAGTTATGGTCATCCCAACTAGAACTTATGGGCACACGGCGTTTTTCAACTGTTTCATCAACGGAGATTTATGAGTGGCGATCTA